AGCTCAATTCCAAGACGATGTGCAAGACTGACTTCAAGGGCAGGCGGGCAGAATGGCCCGTGCCCTAATATGAGCGAGAGATAAAGAGAGCGTTGGCAAAGCAAATTAAAAAATGGCGCAAGATGAAGAGGCGAAAGAGAACGGCTGCAAAGGCTGCTGCCGTGCGGGAGCATGAATATGTACATATGTATGTAGATGACAAAGTTTAGCAGTGGGCAGTATAAATGACGAACAATAATAGATATTTACTCTACTGCTGCACCACTGACTATGATCTACGGATTATTTGGCTGCGTAACCAAACAAAGATTTTGAAGAAACATTTGAATTTTATTTTAGTTTGGTTTACGAATGATATCTCTCTTGGAGATTCGTTTAATATCACTACGTGATTTTAAAAATTATTTTAATAAAATCAAATAAAATCGCAAAAAACAACCACAATCGATTAACCTTTTCACGAATTACTCTTTTGAAAGTATGAAACCGACAAAAAATTATTATTTGTCGAACATAAATTTGCCATGAAAATGAATCGAGTCAAGAGTGAGTCAGCGCAAGGGAAAAACTGGGCGAGGTAGCATATTGAAACATACAACAGGGCAGGGCCATGGGCCATTTGCAATCGGTTGAAATTGGGATTGGGAGAAGGGCCGACAACCATTGGTTATGCCATGTTTTACACATTAATCGATAAACTTTATTATAATTTGTTATGGTTGCATTTGCTTTCGGTTCTTTCTGCTGTGTGTGTGTGTGTGTGTGTGTATATGCCCTTTCATATTACACATACGCCATGTTGTCTGGTCATAACTTTTTTCAACGTCTGACCCCGACCTGTCTGCTGCAGCTATTTTTGGCAATTTTCGCAATGTCAAAGCATCTGAATAATATTTCATTTTTGGGCGGTGGGGAGGTGTACACTCGGTACAGCTATACCAACTTTTTGTTTATCAGTTAATTAGAATTTTCGGGGGATTGACGCTTTTTCCTCGGGATTGAAGTTTGAGCGGAAAACGGTGCAAAATTATTGCAGCAACATTTTTTGCCCCCAACATCCGTTTCGATTTAACTTTCGAGCCACAGCAAGCTCTGGACATGCAAACAGCGTTGGTCACATTTTTTTCAGCATTCCTTTTTTCTTCTTCTTTTTTATGTTTGTTGCTGTTAAAAGTCCACACAAGCTCATAAATTTAAAAAATGTAATATCCCTCTTACGGAAATGACAATTTATTGGTGGTTTTTACTATTCGCAATTTATTTTAACTCCGCAAGGAAATGCATTGCGGATGTAACACCGTCGCTCTCTCTCTCTCTCTCTCCGCTCTTCGACCCTGCCACCATCTGTAGTAAAAGTTGCCAGCAAACAGAGAAAGCGACAGACGAGCAGACAAACAAACAAACAAACAGTCGCTTGTCCACTGAAAATACAACAGCAAAAAATTGGAGGAGGATAAGAGTATGGTAGGGAAACTGTAGGGCAAAGGGAAATGGAAAATAAAATAAATACAAATATCGGCTGCAAAGTGGCCTGTAACTGTAACCGTTACGGGAGCAGCGGTTGAGAGAGAGATTCATATTTTGGTTTGGAACCTTGTGATATCCTATTCTCTTTTCCCAGGACAATCAGAACAAAGATCAATAGTGACAGAGCAGATAAAAGACGAAGGCAGGATATAGTAAGAATATTTAGCACAAAGAAAGGTGATCCAAAAGGTGATATAAAATGTCATAGAAAATGTCATGCTCGAATTGCACCTGTCCCATGACGGGTTCGTGGACTACAAAATGTGACCATCTGTTTATTCTTAACTATGTATGTGTATAGTAGTGGAGGATATACTTGCAAATCCTTTCTGTCGCTGTTCGTCTCTGTCCATTTAGTATTTGTATCGTACACATGTGTAATAAATAAAAGTCATTCTCTATCTACTCGTTTACCTTGACCAATCAACGTTTAAGTGTAGAGAGACCCGTTTATCCGTTTGATACCTCGCAAAACCAAGCTCAGCTGCACTCGCCGAATCGGTCTGACTGGTAGGGTCTCTAGGGGGGCGGCTAGAAGCAGTGCAGGGGCCAGCGGCTGAGATTGAAAATCCGTTAAGTCATCGCCAGTGCTAACCGCTGTGGCCAGAGCTGCATATCCTTTTACCACCCATTGCCACTCCCATTCTTCCACCCTCTCTCGCTGCCTATCCCTGTGTTTTTTTTGCGTGTCTTCTTTCTGAGTGGCTGTCAATGTGCTTGTTATACCCTTGGTGCGGATATTATGGCTTTGATCAGATGTTGCAACACGGAGAGGAGTACCTCCGACTAAAGAACCACCACGACGGGTACCGTAAGGGTATGTTGGCTTCGGCCCCAGAACTTACTATACTTTATTGTTTGTACTGTTGCTTTGGCTGATGCTCAATCTCCGTCTCCTCTCTGCCGCAGCTCTGTTCGACTAGTTCACCAAATCCTATGACAAATAAGCGCTTCTCCTGCAATTTGTACTTTCAGTTGAGACTGGCTTTGCTTTTCATTTAACCAAAGCTGGGGACGAGCGCTTCGGGAATTGAATTGCTCGATGCGATTTCGATTCTCTATCTCTCTATCCATCTGTCTGCTTCTCAGTCTTTAGTCTCTGTCTCCACTGTAATGCAAACAAGCCAATGACAGGGAAACATTAAACTTCCACCTTCAGTGTAAAAAAGTTTACAAGGTGATGTCTGGTGAGTCGTCTTCAATTGAGATCGTTGAAAAGGTTCACCAATTATTAGGAGAATACTTTGAGCTTTTTTGCAGGATTAAATATGGTTCGAGGTGTTAAAAAACACTTAAATGTAATTTAATAAGAGATACAGATATGGTTCAGTTTTGACTGTGAAGTCGCTTTATTAGTACATCTCCACGTGCGAGAACAGAGCTGAAGGAGCAGCAATACTAAACAATTTTTGTTCCTGCAGCTAACGTTCTATGCATTCAATATACGCAGGAATTCTTTAACCCACTCATAGCCATTGTACCCAAGCGAGTACAGCAAAAAGGCCACTTTCAAATAGTCGTTACTTTAACTAGACAAATCGTTTTGCAAAATTATTATTTGCTTTTCAATCACATACACTGTGCTTAACAGCTGTGTATACATAAACGAGAAGGAACGTGTGAGTCGCTTCTGGGGACGCGACTCTACTTATACCCGTACTCAGTCAGTATATACATTTTTGAGCTTATGATTTTTTAGAATTTTAGAATTAAAAAAAAAATTTTTACATTTTACAACATTTTAGCAACTGAAAATGAATTTCTTCATTCTGGTTATAATTATGATCCGATGTGATTCAGATGCCTGGATCTCAGAGACTATATGAGCTAGAGAAACCAAATTTGGTTTCCAGACTCATGTGATATCACACTGCTACAAGTGTATTTCAAAATTTCGCCCCGCCCCCTTCCGCCACCACAAAGAACGAAAATCTGTGGCAGGCACAATTTTGAAGATACGATAAAACTGAAAACTCAGTATCTTAAGTCTGCCCATATCTACCAGATTGCCGAGTCTGAATCAGATCGGATCATAATTATAGCCAGAATGAAGAAATTCATTTTCAGTTGCTTCCCCCGCCCCCTCCACGATGAGACTCGTTACTCATTCTCTTTCTCGCTCGCACACTCTGCCGTGTTCAGTGCGCGAGCAACCCCTAGCGGAGTAGATGTAGAATATAAATGGTACATGGTACAATCTCTATGTTAAATGTATAATATACATTGTAGATGTACATAACAGATGTAGCAAAAAAATGGTAAATTTTTTTTTATTAAATTCTAAAATTCTAAAAACTTTATAAGCTCAAAAACGTATACATTGACTGCGTTACGCACATCCACGTTTACCGCAATCCAGAAGCGACTCCCCTTACTCTCGTTTTTTTTAAGAAATATAATAAAAGACTTGTGTTTCCGTAGCCGTAGACTGATAGATGGCGTACAGATATTCCACAGTTCTCGCTAATCTTTTTGTAACCCTTTAATTAATACATAGATTTATGGTAGGCTGTTGGAGGTTATTTACCTATATTACATATTTTAGCTGCAAAACCATCAATGGTCGTTCCATTTATATCATAAATAGTGCCATCAATGTCTTTGCAGTTCTCAGTTTACCCTCTCATGTTTCTTTTTCCTTTTCCAGGGTTGCCCTGCGACAATATTTCAATAAAACTAGCAGAGAATTTTGCATTTTAATCACTCACTCAAAGAAAGCTCACAATGATGTAATCTTTTGGGTCCGTCCCGGTGCTCCCTGATTCCGTCCTCCGCATCCAATGCATTGGGTTTTGCTCTTTATCAATGTATGCATATGAATGCATACATATGGGTGGGTGCCTGTATGAGCATGAGTGCATATGCGTGTGTGTGTGTGTGTGTGTGCAGATGCTGATGCAAATATGCTGCGGCTGTGCATATGTATGAGTGCAATTCCCATGCATGTTCAACATGATTAATTTCTGTAATAACTCGATTGGAATCACGCGCCAGCAGCAACTTTTCTTCCATCAGGCATTCCACACAACCACACACACAATCAGACACACATATGGCATTGGCAGTTTATGTATGTATGGCTGTGTGTTTCCCTGGTGGACATGCACGTTCCGTTATTCGCCGCATACGTGAGGCAGAGTGAGCAAAGGCAAGCAGCGAATGGAAGCAGAGGAAACGACAAGAAGCACGAAAGATAAGAAAAGCATAGGGAAAGTATATTAATATGAGGTGAGGCATTCTAAAATAAAGAGCGGGAATGATTCACCTTATACTAATAAACCTTGAGCAACTTCCAGCCAAGCGAGAGAGCGAGTAGGCACACACAATCCCATTTGTAGAGCGAGAAAGATACATAGCTAGCTAGAAGGACGGTGGAAGAGACTCGGCAAAGTACAAATGTTGAACGAACCCTGCTATAGCAGGGTTCTGCCTGTATTAATATTTAAGCAATTTCAATAAACAAATCAGTTATCGAAAGGAACGAATATTTTAATACAGTTTAATCCGGCAAACAGTTTTCTAATAGTTAATAATGATGTGAGAACCGTATGTGAAATGATTAGGTATTGTAGAAGCCTTCATCAATGGAAAAAAATGGATTTCACGGGAGGCGTGTAGGGTGATGGTTATACTTTCATCATTGATTTGCATGATGGCGTCATTCATCTGCTCCACCGTCTGCTGCTCCGAATCCACGCGGTTGTCATGACAATCCTCGATGGCCTGAAAGTACAGTAACGCAAAAATAAACGGAGTAAGTACACCCATCGGGGACTAGCGGGTCACAAACAACCGCACAGACTCAAACTGTCTCGTTTATCACTGTTCTCTCTCTCTCTCTCTCTGACTCTTGCTACTCGCTGCATTCTGCTGAGTTTGTATCCGCATGCGTGAGCGTATTTGTAAGCTTACCGTTGCTTCTATGTTGTTCTCCTGTTTGCAGTGGGGGACGGGTTCCAAGAAGCTCATGAACGGGGTCCACCAGCGCTGAGTTACCTTATTCTGACGCTGCTGGCGCCGGAACCAGCCCGTAAGGTATTTTATTTTCTGTTTTACATCGGTCTTATGCATCTGTACCTCGTTTGCAATTGTCGTCCAGGCGACATTTCTGGCCATCGGAAATACAAAGTCCGGATTTTCTTTGTTCCATAGAACATTCTGGGACTCGTAGGCCCGGATGAGCTTTACGGTTAGTTTTTTGTCACGAAGAGACAAACGCTCAAATTCAGACCCGGCGGCGTTCATTTCTAACACGCTTCGGAACGAAAATCACTCTTAAACACTGAAAGTAGAGGTGGACACGCGGTCGATGTTTTTTCAACAACATCGATGTTTTTCATCTCCATCTGTCAGTCTACACTTTCACTAAAGTCTAGTTGAGTCCCAATCACTTTTGGCAGACTACTAGCAAATACCATTTATCTTTAATGTGGGGAACACAAGAGAAAAAATGGAAGTCACTTTTCTTGTCGTGTTCGCCAATCCAATCCCCGCATAGAAACACAGTAAATAAGAAAAAGTAAAAGAAATACATACATGCATAACTATTGAAAGGGTAAACATTCATTCATAATCAGTTCACTAAGTTCCAGTAGATCTTGGCAAAATTCATCCCCCTCCTCTAATTCTTCCTTCTTTTTAAGTTCGTATTCAAATAGGCACGCTGGACATTCATTCCAGAGGTACGTGTAGTCCCGGAATGTTCTCATCCACTCCGCCATCGTACGCTCACATTGCCAGCATTTGGCCTCCATGGTTTCCATGAAAATTTTCTGCTGGGCCGTCTCGTTAGTTGGTTGGTCCATATTTAGTATGATGATTGCTGAGGATTATCCAGAACAAGGGGTAAATTATGTCCACAAATATTCTCAACCTTTCAATTGATTGAGTGACAGAAGCATCTTCCGAAATACTGCATGCCTTGTTATCGTTTCCGTACGAATATCATCCCTGATTCGGTCGACGGATTATTTAGCGCTTTTGAGCGTTTTTAGTATTTAGTATATTTTTTTTGGCTTGCAAGAATGAAAACAAACAAGGAATGTGTAAATGCAAAGTTTTGCTTTTGTATTTATGTTAATTTGAGACTCGCATGGTCTGGAAAGTATTAATACGTTTACAACTTGTTGAGAGTGGTAGATAGTGTCAAAAGGAATTGTGGAAAAAAGCGGAGTGGTAAAAGGCGGAAGAAGGATGACGAGAGAGTGTGCAGTAGAGCCCATGCTCCAGTTAAATCATTTGCTTGCCACCCATCCTGCCCATTCTGCCCACAACCATCATGCAGTTCAATAACTTTTAATGCACTTAATTAATTCCCACTGCGTCTAAAAGAAAGAGAGAGATAGAGGAAGCGAGCAAGGGTAAAACAGTCAGAGAGCGATGGCATTTGCCATTTCAAATTGGATTTGAACAAGAAATAAAAGTCTCGCTGCGGAAGCCGAACTAACATATACTCTCGCAGTTTGATGTTTTCTATGGTATGTAGCTACATATATGATATACATATGTATATTGTACCCCTTTATGGGGTCGCATGTGGTTCGTTCTCTGCGTTCAAAGCATCATACCCTCTAAAAGGGTATGGTGGAAATATTTCTTTTTCCTTTTATTGGAGTTTGTCAATAACATTAGCATTCCTAGCGCTGCACCCACTCGTCACCCCATGGACCTACTCTGTCTGTTTACCTAATTTAAGTTATTCTAATTCAATTAGTTCATCTTCTAATTAATCGTCATGGCTGCCTCCTCTGTAGCACTGTCTGCATCTTCCCCCCAGCTCGTGCCCGTATCCGTGCTCAAGTCAAATGGAAAATGCAATTTAGTTGAGTAAATATCGAATTTGATGATGGATAGATAGATGCTTATGTAGATCCCTGAGGATTTGCGGATTGAACGAGTGGATGTTTGCTACTCGAATAATGCACGGAAAAGAAATAACAAAATTTGCCATCTTTGTAATTACATTTAGCATGTGGCGGTTGGCGTTTGTATCTATGGAGAAACTTTCAAGGAGAGTTCTAAAAGTAAATTTAGAATTCAAACTAACATAAGTTTCAAGTTAAGTGAAGTTAAGTATTAATTGCTAGTTTCGATTTTCTCTTTTTTCCAGGAAAGTCAATGAACTTTTCTACGGTGTGGCAACGCCATACACAAAATGTGGCAGCGCTCTTCACAAACAGCTGCTTAATATTTATAGAAATTCTGGAATTTTGCCATCGAATAATGAAAGGTATTTTCGTCCATCTTTCAGTCGCCTGTGAATACGCTTCGAGAGACTCTCGTGGAACCATCCCGTGCCACCCGAAGCATGTGTTAAGCTTTAAGCGACGTCACAATCCCATATAGCAGAGGGCACAAACGGAGATGGAAACGGCAGAATGGACGGTAATTTGCATTGATTTACGGCCGGTAGGAGGAGCCGCCAGCGAGTTACAACTTGCAACAGCCACGGCCACGGCAACTGCAACTGTGCAACTGTGCAACAATGCAGCGATGTGAAGGTGGGTCAGGCACTGACACTGTTAATGCGTCTACGGCTGCATTCCGATCCATTCCGGGCCGGACCTTACCTGACCGGACTGGACCGTGCCGTGTCACGTACATTCAATTAAACGCCCTTGAGTGCCGCCACAGCAACGCCTTCTACCTCTATCCTGCATCAATTCTCTGTGCCTCTTGTCTCTGTCTCCTTGGGTTCAGTTTATTGGCATGCCAGTGCCAGTGCCAGTGCCAGGGACAACGGCGACGACTCCGGGCGAGGAGGTGGACAGTGATGGCCAGACCCCGGGAGCAATGAGCTAAAGATAAATAACAAGCCATATAACGCATACGCACTGTGTGTCGCCCGGCACAGGACAGGATGGGAGGACAGACACAGCAGCACAGCATGCAACAGCAGAGGCAGAGCCGCAGCACCAGTTTGTCTTTGCCTTATGCCGAAAGGAAGCGCATTTGGGCGTGCCTCCACCCGAAACACCCATCCCCACATACAGTGAGAGCTCTCTGGAGCGGACACTGTTACAGATTTAAGGAAGGTAACCATATAAGAGTGGACTTAAAGACAACTTAACAATTTAATAATTACCTTTTTTTTTACGATTCGAACAGGTAAGGCACCTGCCCGTATAATCCAACAAAGGAGGATAATCGGTTGATAATGGCTGTGCGCCATTCGACATCCAACGTATTATTCATCAGCCAGCGAATCGGATCTAAAATCTGGTCGACTTTAATACTATTTTACAGAGCATAAGGTTAAGGATAGCCAAGATTTTTTCCAGCAAAGAGAGCATTTACTGTACGTCACTCGCGCTCATTTTGTTCGCCATCGTTTGGCAAAGCCCGGACAACAGTAAACAAGCACGGAACGCTGCTAGCTAGAGCCGGAGCCATACCCAGGCCCGGAGTGAGCGATAGAGAGACCTGATCCCCATGGTCCGGTTCCCCCCGCAGCATGAACATTTGGGGCCCCCTCATTGTGTCGCATGCTTTCGGGCGTTGATTTCCACAGCTGCCAAACGCTTGTCTTTTGATCTCCAAACGAAACCGGAGCCCCGAACTCATCCCGGGACGCAATACCAGAACCCAGCCCCACCTGACGACTCCCCCTTCGATAGCTCTCTACAAACGCAATTTCAATTAAATTTTAAATATTTATGCAAGAGCAACAGCCAGCGACAGACACAGACCCCGAAAGAGATACACACACATACGTGAAGGGAGGGACCAAAGTCCGGCCAGACCAAAACAATTACAACATGGCTTAATCCTTTTTTACTGTTGTTTCCGTTTTTCGCCCATTTCAATTGCGTTTTCCGCTTTTCCACACCCATACATAAGGACATATGTACATACATACGTATGCATGTGTTGGCATGGTTTAGTGACTGTGCAGGGCATTTTCACTTGATCAAAATTTATTCTTCTGTGGAGTTTTCATTTTATGGCATTGCATAAATTTCGTTTTTGCATAGCGAAGCGATGATCTATATTTTTGCTGTGCTAAGACTTAGCAGCAGCAATAAGAAAATTGCTTCGACCTATTGAAGGCTTTGATAAGACCAAAAGAAAAATACAGGATTACAGGGCTTACCCTAAATCTAAATAAGAATTCTATTAATATTGTCTACTTGTATTTATTTTCTTTTACTTATTTAAATGCATGTATCAAAAGAGCTCATTCAAAAGCATTCCCAAAGTTCCTGGATGTCTCGTACTTTAAGCCAGAACTAGCTTTTTTATATATACATCATTCTCGTAATATTCTGGCTATCCCAGTAAATATTCCTCTTGAGATTAACTTGGAGAGATGGAAAAAAAAAGATATCCACTGTTGATTCAAGTCTTTTATACCTATGTATGCACGCATTATTGCTGGTGTTGGCTCTTTGCTGGATGATAACAAGAATTTAAACAATTAACAATTGAAACGTGTAAATGAAAAAAGGTCAAGGATGCCTGCACAATTCAGGGAGAGATCTAGATAGAGGCTTCGACTACCTATTTGATCTTCTCCTTCCGGCCTGCGCTCAGCTCGTATCGGGAGACGTACTTCTTTTCTGTGCCCTTCATTCGCTTTTCAATCTCTTGCTGGCGCTCTTTCCACTTCAGATTTACAAATTGCAATCGTGTAGAATCCGGCGACTCCTTTTTAGTTTTTGTGGAGCCCATTTGCATATCGGCAACCGTCTTCTTCCCCTCGGGGTACATCCGGTTCTCCTTGTAAATCTGTCGCAAACAGTCACGTCTGTTCAGTTTCAGTTTCTTCTCATCTTTGACAATCTTTGAGTCCACTGCGGTGGGCTCCTTTTCCTGCATCGTCTTGATTACGGGTTCCCGGGAGCAAGGCATGGGGACCCAAGGTAAAGATTGACCCACAGTGGCGACTGACCATATTCAGCAACCCTGTTTTGCCAAAAAGACTCTCGTTCGTAGCCGTCTTTGCGTTTTTCCTTTATCATCTGCCTCAAGGCCTCACGGCGGCTCATCTTGCTGTTTTCAAATTGTCGCGACTGGTTCTCAGAGAAGCAACCATCTTCGGACTTCACTGACGCCTCTTTTGTTGTGATGGTCTTCTCCTTCTTCTTCTGCAGCAACACGCCACGAGTCTGAGGATCCGTTTTGGAACTGTATTTGGTCCAGTGCAGTGGCCCCACGGATAAGTGCCGCTGCGCACCTGAAGCTTTATGAAACCCATCGTCATAATTGCCCCGTCTCTACCCAATAACATGCAAATACTCACCGCGAGTCAACATTATGTTTATTTGACGAAACATCCTGCTTGAGCTT